AGAGGATCCCCTCGGCCTGTCGATGGATTTCTTCGTATTCTGCGCAGGTACTGCGGCCTATCAACTCGTCCATCTGCTTGTCATGTTTGTTCGTACAGAGAAGATAGTGATCACGACAACAACAAGTAAGTAGTGGCATCGAGGTAGGCAGGTGGTTTAGATAGCCTGCAGCTCAGGATATAGTACGGCGCAGATATGGTGCTGGGAACTGTCGACTGGCCACCCACACCGTTGCATTCGGAGCAGCGAGGCTTGATCAGTGGGCTTCAAAACGGGGCGGCAGCTTGAAATGCCGGCTTTATTCGTGCATCGCATGGGCATGGACATGGAATGGACATGGACGTGGACATGGACAAGGGGCATGGCTGCACCTCCGTAACGAAGAAGGACAGACAGGCATAACTCTCGCAGGGGGGGGGGGGGGGGGAAGGCAGCGCCAGCGAGCGAGTTCGTCCACCTGGCCAGCAGGCTAGTGAGCTGCTGCAGGACGGTCCACTGCCGAGTCTTCGACTTCATTCCCGCTGGTTTGACGGTTGACGGTTGGATGGTGACGAGGCAGGCCTGGCAACCAATCTCTACCAGACACGGAGACGCAGCCCCCTAAGTTATATTGGCCGCAACAAAGGAGAAAAGAGGAGAGCGAGCTGCGCCCTTGGATTGACTTGACCTGAGAGGCAGTTCTCCCTGGTGATTCGATCCCTCGCGAATCTCCATCACATCGTCATAACGCCTCGTTAGATCAGCAGGGGTGGCCGTTGGCTGAGGGTATCCTGTCTGCCTGTCTGCCTGCCTGCCTGTCCCTTTGCCGGGAACAAGGGCTTACATGCGCAACAGTCGGTCGGCCGGTCGGTTGCTCGACTGTCTGTCTCTATACCTTAAGTACTTATGTACTTATGTATATACTCCGTACATATACGCAGGCCTGCTGGGTCCTCGCCTCGTCTCATGCATCGGCGAATATATGCCCGAGAAACATGTAAGGATATGTATGTACGTGTCAGGACGGGATGGAGATGCAGCTCTTTAGCCCGGCAGAGTCGCCAGCACTCTCTATCGCACAAGATCGAGCGAGGGCCGTCGTCCTTTGGGGGAGCCCCCTTGTCGTGCATGCCACGATGAAGTCACTGTCGCCTTCTCGCGTAACTCGTTAATCGACGACCCAGGCCCTGCATTCTTATTTCTACGTGCATGAAATTGTACTAAGCTAACTCGTTAGTTAGCAGTTAACGAGCCAACGAGCGACCTTGAACGACAGACGGAGCCGGAGAAGAAAAAGGAATAAGAAGCAGCCGAAAGCCAAACGGGTGCAAGACAGGCCGTAGACTGGCTGCTCCCCCCACGCTCCTCCTGGCCGTCGACTGAGCATGAAGAAGCAAGTCAACTCACGTTGGACGATGAACCGGCAAGGTAGATCGCCGCTAGGGGGGGTGGACTTATTAGTGAACGAGCCTAGCAGGCTGGTCTTCAGCATGATTGGATGGCCGGAGTGATCTCAGGTTCATCTCGACTGCTAGTTTTTAGCTGCTCGATGGAGTCGTTGGTTTGATACTCTTCCTCCCCCTTCCCCCCCTCCCTTGGACGAGATAGACTGCTAATTAACCGCCCAGGTCAGCCAGTCAGCCAGCCCGTCCAAAGAGAAGATGATGGTTGACAGTCATGCTTCTCTGCATGTTTTCGAGCAGGCCGGGGATGCTCAGGTTGGTGCCATAGGCTGCTGGCCTGGCGATGATGAAACTGGTGCATCTGGTGGGCCCTGTCCTGTCGTGTTCTCTCACCAGAGAGAAGCCAGAGAGAGAGAGGCACACACAAGATGGGATAGGACGGTTGAATTGATTACTTATGGCGATGACGGGGTGCACTCACGCGCCCACCGTCGCTCGTTACTCTTCCCAGCCCAAGAGATGGCGATGAGATAAAGATGGTCCTCCACTTTTATCCTCGCCGATCCTCCCTGGTTAACCTAAGCAGCCTGGAAACAAGGCAAGCCGGTGCGATGAGAAGCCGCCCGCCAGCCAGCAGAGCAGGACAGGGCTGGAGACGACCCGATTTAAGCACTTCGGGGGGAAGGGGGTTGCAGTTTCGGTTCGGCGTCGACTCTGGCATATAGCTACGGCACCCCAAGGACAACGATCAAATGAAAGATTATATTTATATTTATATATACATTAACCGACAGACGTGGCGAGAGCCGACCACGCGACAGTGATATGCTATACTCCTGCTCTCGTATATGCTTATTCGGGGGAGGGGGGGGTAAAAAAGTGCTCTGTTGTGCCCATCAACCTCCCGAGTGTTATTAGTCAATGGAGTATGGGGTAGTGATTTCGCCTCAACCAGGGGGATCTCCTAGGGATCCGACTTGGGACCTCTCGGGACTGCTGCTGCTGCTGTGCTGTGTAGCACCCAGGTTTCAAGCACTTGCCATCTACCGAGCAGAAGGATGGCCCCTTCGAAGCGGTCTCCGATATAATTTTCTGGATATCAGGATGCATATACTGCGCCCCCCCCCCCCTCCTCCCACCCGCCAGTGTCCATACGGAGTAGCTTTGGCAACGTCTTTTTTTCTATATATAAAACAATCCTGATCCTTAAGATCGGGAATCAGGATGATGGCCATCTACTTAAACTAGTTTACCCTCACTCCCTTCCACAGAGCCATGCTGATCGCGTTCATCCTGTCACCCTTCCCTCCCCCCCTCTGAGCATAACCCTTCAGGTATCCTCTCTCCGTATAACTTGGAGGGCGATCACCCGAAGGAGAGGAAGGGGGCGGCTCCAGTTCGTCTCGTCTTTGGGTTAAAATTCGCCATCGCATGTTTTGACTCAGTGGCCCTTCTCTAACCACCCCCCCCCTGGCTAGGGCGAAACAGGTGGGAAATTTCCCTTCTGCCGTCTTCACTTGTGCCTGACTAGCTGAGTCTTCTTTCGCTCTACAGAGCACTTCCTCTGATGGGATTGTCCACTGATGTTTCGCCGACAGACGTATCTGGTTACGCAGTTATGGAGATGTCCAGCCGCCGCAACCCCCACCAGAGGAGAAAAGCAGTAGTAGCGAGCGTAGTTTAGATGCTTGAATGGAGTCCTCAGCATCGCCTACTATGGCCATCTATCTCTCTGCCCGTCAACCAGCCAGACCCCTGTGCAGGTAAGGTAGTATCACCCATGTCTGTCCTCTCAGATGGCGAAAAAGCATGCTGCTCTCTTATCGTGCGTGTTTTATATACCCCCAAACAGCTAACCAGCCAAACTCACGATAGTACGAAGCCCACTCCGTCTCTATACGTCGACGTCGACCAGGGGGCCGCATGCAAGACAGCAAGGGAGAAGAAGAAGAAGAAGAAGAAGAAGAAGACAAAAAAAAAGAAAAGAAAAAAAAGCAACGAGGAGACGCAGAAGAAGAACTCCACCATGCGCGCCCAGGGAGAGAGGCTTTGCAAGGGCTAACTAACTAACTAATTAAGCTGTTTTGTTAATTTTACATCATAGGAATCTTTTTTTTTTCTTTTCTTATCAAACAAGCGGCAGCAAGAGAAGCAGGAGGACTCGAGGGGAGCCGAACCGATTCGCAGAGACAGAGATATCGGCCCTGGAAAAGGAGAAAAGGGCAAAGGAGAGAGACAGAGACAGGACGGCCAGCACAGAGAGAGAGAGAGAGATCAAAAGGAAGGATTCTGGAAAAAGGTCTACCGAATTGCTTTTTCCCTCTTCCCTTCGCCTTTCAAGCATCGCACTCGACTTGTGCGAAGCTTAAACCGGCCGTAGCAGAGCTCTGCCTCTCACTGGCAGCCGTTGTTTACTTTACTTCGCTGTTAGTTGTTGTGACTCGGTGGTGGAGTTATGTATAGCTGTAGTTGATACTCCGTGGTCAAACCCCTTAAACCTCCTGAGCTGGAAATGAATTTGAACTACTCCGTACAGCCTACCAAATCACCAACCACCACTGGGACTTCTACTTTGCTGTCAACGTCTCTCTCTCTCTCTCTTTTTTCACTTTCAGCTTTATTTTGCATTAAAAGATGCTCAGGTTTAGCCAAACCCATACGAAGCTCTCCACCCTGCAAAAAAAAACTCACTTTAGCCCTCGCTGAAGGGGGGTGGAGGGCCCGCTGATTCACTTACCTTGTTCCACCCTAATTGACCTTCTATGTTTTTTTTACCTTTTAACCTTTTTTCTTCTCTTTTTTTGCAGTTCGAGCCAGAAAAGTACGGAGAATCCCTTCCTGCCTGGCTGCAAGAGAAGAAGAAGAGGACGACCGTTGTTCTTATTATTTCAAGAAGCCGTTCACCGGCCGGCCAGCTCTGTCTTTTCTCTCCCTCTCTTCCTCCCTTTCCCTCTCTCCCTCCCTCCTTTTTCTCTCCCTCGCTCTTCTTATCTTCTGCTTCCTTTCCTTCGTCTTCTTCTACCTCTCTGCATCTTCATTCCATCTGGACTCAGTCAGTCAACCTTAATTAATATATACTTATACCTCGGCCCTTGTTGCTTAATTTCTCCCTCCTTCTTGGTCCTCTTGCTTTATTACTTCTCGCCCGTCCGCTCCTTTTCAATAAAGCTGCCAATCTTCTGCTTTCCTGCTCGACTGTTCTCTCTCTCTCTCTCTTCTCTGCTTGGTTCCGCCTACCATTGAGCGTGCCTGGTTTATACCCCCCTGTGTTCCTCTTCCACCAGCCAGGCTTTGCTTCAATTGGCAGCTTTTCCCACCACATCTACCAAAATTCACCAAGAATACCACAAAATAGAGATAAAGAAGCAGCTTCACATGAATTGATAACACTGTGAACCTCGCGAGTGAGATACCCGGGACTGGGGGAGACCGTCTCCTTTCCCTTGAGCAAAAAAAATAAAATAAGATAAAATAAGATCAGATTTAATATCTCAGCCAGGAGCTTAGAGACTTTGTTTTTGATATTGCAATTGAACAGCAAGGAAAAGAAAAAGAAAAGAAAAAGAAACGGGAGACAGTAAGACCATCATGATGGCTTTTGAGTTCACATATCTCTTAGCCTTCAAGCTGTTATTGTGAGTTGTTTTCCCTTTCTTTTCTTTTTTCTTCCTGCTTCTCTGGACATTTTGCATCTGACTGGGAGGGATGTGTGTGTGTGTGTCTGATTGATAGTGTGTACCGGTACCTGCGACTGGTGGTCAACCTGTTTGCCGTCTGGACGTTTCGACCGATCCCGCCGCCGGAGAATCCCAAGCTGACGTCCCAGGATGTATCCATCATCATCCCGTCCCTGTCCGGCTGCGGCGAGGAGCTCGAGGAGACCATCCGGACCATCCTGCTGAACGAGCCCTACCAGATCTTCCTGGTGACCATCGACGCCAACCGGGCCAACGCGGAGCGCATGCTGGCGACGATGCCGGCCTCGCGGACGAGGATCCAGCTGCTGAGCATCCCCAAGCCCAACAAGCGGCGGCAGATGGTGCGCGCAATCCCGGAGGTGCGGACCGAGATCACCGTCTTCGTGGACGACGACGTGAGCTGGCCCAGGACGGAGCTCAAATGGATCCTGGCGCCGTTCGACAAGGACCCCATCTACGGCGGCGTCACCACCTGCCAGCGCCTGCGGAGGGTCGGCGCGCCGCTGTTCTCGATGCAGCGGGCGTGGGACTTCCTGGGCGCCCTGTATCTCGAGCGCCGCAACTTCGACTGCGCCGCCACGACGCACATGGACGGCGGGATGCCGTGCCTGTCGGGACGGACCGTTGCGTACCGCACCAAGATCCTGCAGGACCGCGAGTTCACCCTGGGCTTCACCAACGAGGAGTGGTGGTTCGGCCGCTACGAGCTCAACGCCGACGACGACAACTTCCTCTCGCGCTGGATGGTCACCCACGGCTGGGAGACCTACTTCCAGTACCACCCGGAGGCCGAGATCCAGACGACGCTCGAGGACAACCCGCAGTTCCTCAAGCAGTGCGTCCGCTGGTCCCGCAGCAACTGGCGCAGCAACCTCACCACCCTCGTCCAGGAGCAGGTCGTCTGGTTGTAAGTCTCTTCTCTGTCCGTCTTTCTCTGTCTTTATATGTCCTTGCTGACCTCTGCAGCCGCCAGCCGTGGAGCACGTATGCGGTCTTCCTGACGACGCTCTCGCCGCCCGCCCTCGTCGGCGACCTCTGCCTGCTGGCCTTCTGCTACAAGGGCACCGAGGCCTGGGACCCCCAGCAGCGGACATGGGCCTTCAACGCGCTGCTGCTCTGGATGTTCGTCAGCAAGTTCATCAAGCTGCTGGGCCACTACATCCGCTATCCGGCCGACTTTTTGCTGCTGCCCGTCTCCATCTTCTTCGGCTACTTCCACGGCCTCATCAAGCTCTATGCCGCCTTCACCCTCAACGTGGTATGTGTCTTCCTCCCGTCGTCCTCGTCTTTCCTGTCCTCGTCCCCGTCCCCGTCCCAGTCCCCGTCTCCGTGTGTGTCGTGGTCGAGCTGCCCGCTTCTGGGCCGTCAAAGACTCTCCGGGCCGGCCGTTCTTGTCGCCCTTTGTTTCACCTCCCTGCAAAAAGCCAAATTTAATTATTATTATTATTATTATTGCCCTGCCATCTCCGTCACAATCATGCCACTCACCCATTGTTGCCAATATCACCCGCCGTTAAAATAATATGGTTGTGCTTCCTGCTAACCGGCGGCCTCGCTCCTCCGTAGACGACCTGGGGCACCCGTGAAGGCGCCGACGTCAGTGACACCGACCGCATGCGGGAAAAACTAAATTACGAGATCCTCGCCGCTGCTGCGTCCTCCAACCCCAAGGCCCACGCTCTCCGCCAACCGCCAGCGCCACTGCAGGAGAAACTGGTCTCCTGCTAACGAACTCGCCCGGCTTCTCTTCTCTGGCTAGGATTTCCTGGGTTACCTCGCTCTGCTGGCGCTGCCTCAGCTCCGGCTCAGCTCCGGGGGCCCTGCGATCGTCCTCTCCCAACGACCACGACCATCATCGCCCTCCCACTGCTGCTGCTGCTGCCACCACCACCACCATATGACGACCACCAACTCTCCTTGCTCCTCAGCTTGCACAAGATCTGCTTTCCCTTCTCGGCCCACTCTTTTGAGTCTCTGCGATGTCGCATCCATGTATGCAGCCATCCATATAGGGAAATTCCCGTTTCCGCATCGCCGACCCTCAGGCATCTGCGAATAATAATACTAAAAACATTATTCGCACTCTCTTTTTGCTGCTCCCGACAAGGCACGGAAGACGGAAAGCAGCCAAAGTAAAAAAAGAATCAACCACACACACACCCTGGCTGGCCACAACGACTTTTTTTTTTTACTCCTCTTCGCTTTCTTTTTTCTCTTTTCTTTTTTTTTTTTCGTTTTTCAACTGTCACATCCTCCGACTAGTGATATCGTTCCCGGCCTCATCCTAGTCAGGTTAGCGAAGGACCAGCTCCTGTCCAAAGGGTGGTATTATTTATTTTTGACTGCATCTCCTTCCTAGCCTGGACGGCTCGATTTGAAACTTCGGCAGACGGGGCAAGCTTCGGACAAGGGAACCCTTTTCATCCCCGTATACGACCGATGTTTTGACCATTATTATCCTCAACTCTCTACATACTTTGACATATTACCGAACCCCCACACGCAGGGAAGAACATCTGATACCTTTGTTTATCTTCTGCCTTTTCTTCGACCTATTTTCAAAGTTACTGGTGCTGCAGTACACCAACTCTCTCTCTCTCTCTCTCTCCCTCTCTTTCTCTCGCCTGGACCTTTTTAGCCTAGACACAGATTCGATCCTGCTGGGCCCTTATCGCCCCGTGTGTGTGTGTGCTACTTTTTTACGTTTACAATGCAACCCAACACTTTTTGTCTCTTGTCTCTGTGACTCTCTCATTGACAAGACTACACTTAGGTTGGAAGGACCATGGAGGACCGTGAACCAGGGTGGCCATGTCGGATGCAATAATGAACACATGCCAGCGGGATACGGCACTTTGTTACTTCTCTCACCCACCCACTTGCTCCTAAAGTACTAACCACATCTCGAACGGGATAGCCAAATACCCGACTCCCTTTTTTCTTTGAACCCTGGTGGTGCATAATCCAAAATAAATCATTCATTTTCTTTTGCGAAAGAGGGACATTTCATGACCTGGAACTGGAAAAAAAAAACTTGGGCGGCTCTGGTGTTATTCTTCTGATTTTCATTATTGTGTTTTCCCACCATTTCCTATCTCTCTCTCTCTC